CAACTTCATCCACGACCAACCTACTACATCAATGGATAAATTGAACTGTGAAATGTTAGCCAAACTGAAATTGAAATAAATCAAATCTTTACATTTATATAAAATAAATCAATATATTTACCAATAAATGAAAATTTGTTGCGATATAAAATCGAATCTATGCATTGGAATTTTTTCATCATCTCCAAAAATAACCAAAGCCATCCATAAATTATATATACAACATCTAATCGTATGCCATTACATAAACAAATAATCGTTAAGTATCCTAAATAAATACAATGTAACTAATAATTACAAATATAAATTTAAACATAAGATTTTAAAAATTACTCAGACATTGATGACCTAAAACTAACACTAAATTACTAACACAAAATTCTCTTGATGGGGTTTTTTTATTGATACGAAATTTATTTGTGTCGTATGATGTGTTAAATCTGCATGTAAAAAAAATTTAGTAAATAAAACATAAACATATAATCGTTGAGTATCCCATATTAATACAATGTAAGTAATAATTAGAAATACTAATTTAAACATAGGATTTTAAAAATTAAGCTAAAAATTACCCGGCCATTATGACCAAAAATTAACAGAAAATTCTCTTGATGGGGTTTTTTATTGATACGAAATTTTGTGTGTGTTGTATGATGTGTCAATTTATTATGGTAGGTATTATAAATTTTAAGTTAATTATAACTAACGAACAATTTGTATTTCTTATCATAAATACTATCAAAATTTATCTTATAATGATAGGTATCAAACTTTATTATAAGCGTTTATCATTTAAATATTTTTTTAGTATATTTTTTCTTGGATTTCTTATACTCGTAGTACTGAATTAATAAATTTATCATGGTTTTTTTCATCTAAGGTTTTTAATTATTTGATATATTGTATTTAATAATTTCAAACAAAATTAAAAAAGTTTAATTTTAATATTTTTTTTTTACTGTAATTTCTTCAGTGAGCAAACGATTTGCTGCTCTTCTAGTTAGAGAAGGACTTAAACCTACCGGTAATAATACAACTTTATTCATTACAATTGAATTTATTAAATATAAATAAATTGTAAGTATGATATTTCATCCGTTACCTAAATCTTTAATGTGAAAAGATAAATTTTTAATTTTTTAAATAATTTAAATCCTAAATCAATATACATTGTTTATGTTAGCAAAAATAAAATTGATATAAATTAAATCTTCACATTTATGTAAAGTAAATCAATATATTTACTAATAAATGAAAAATTGTTGCGAAATAGATTAAAAAATTGTAATTGTAAAAATCAAATCTATGCATTGGAATTTTTTCATCATCTCCAATAATAACGAAAGTCATCCATATAATAAGTATACAACATCAAATCGTGTGCCATTTGCCTTAACTTCTTCTTACAATTTTTAAAATTAATTTGAAATAGTTGCATTAAATATATGTATAAAAGCCAAAAAATTAACTTGAATAGTTGCATCAAATCAAGTACTTTACAAATTTCAACCACATATGCTCGACAATGCTCAATATAAAATTTCTTAGTAACTAAACTAAGCTAGTCAACAATTAGCTAGTTTCCGCATTGTTATATTTTGTCTACAATGTCGTGGAGAATATACATCCATTACATCTTTAATCAAAAGTAGTATGATATGAATTGCATCAATGAGATCAAGACCACTAATTGCAATGAAAATGCGGTTCATCCCTATGTTTATTCATGCATGGAACTTTTATTAAATCAATATAATGACAAAAATCAAGGCATTGGATTGGAACAATTGAAAAGTATCTAAAGAAGTAAACTTTTTCTTCAATCAATTTTGGATGAAAGTTTTGAACAAAGCTGGTGTTAATTGAGGCATGAACGTCACCCTATAATTAAAAATAAGAAATTAAGTTATTTTAATAACTTGATTAAGCCACTTAAATTACAAAAATTTTTTTTAATAAAATTAATTAATAAAAAACTAAAGAGGTTTATAGAAATTATAATAAATGTAAATTAAACAATTAAAAAAAAAATACCTCCTCTTCCATTAGGGCCATATCCAAACTTTTAAGCTATGTTGTTTACAGATATTTAGTATGTCAAATAGGCGAGAAACTTGTACTTTGATTTTCCAATCATTTTTGCTCGAATTTAATTCTCTAATTAAATTAGATCGAATTTAATCCGCACGGTTTTTTTTATAAATAAATCTCATGAAAAAGATTGTTTTCTTAATTTAACCCTATAATTTTTTTATTATTTTGCTTGTTAGAAAACGGATAATTTGTTTTATTTTTATACAACTTATAATGCGACCTTAATTTACTAATAGTAGTTATATGAAAATTATAAGCATGATAGATATATAATAAAATCATAATCATGTTCTTATTTTTTTTAAACCTATGATTCATTTGTAAAACGAAAACACGTTGTTCCACTATACATATATAGTTATAGAATCACTAATATTTTTCAAAAAGAATAACTTAGACCACCATTATTCTTTTACTCCGTATCAACTTTATACAATTAAAATTAATAAAGTAAAACCAAAACTATAGGGTTAAAATAAAGACGGTGGGAGTAATAATAAAATATATGACTTTATAAATTTTTAAATAGTTTAATGAAATATATATATACTACAAGAGTATTGCATTACTAAAATTAATCTAATTGAATAAAAATAAATCTTTATAATGAAATTTCATTATCATATGTCTTAATAATAATAAAACTGACACAAAATTAATGACACAAAATTTGCTTGGTTTGGTTTTGTATTGATACAAAATTTTGTTGGTGTCATATGATACATCAATTTATAATGGTCAATATCACAAATTTTAATTTAATTATAATTAAGGAATAGAAGTATAGAATTACATTCTTAAAAAAATGCAAATATCTAAGAAGAGTGATTGAATGCAGACAATTTTTCTCAACCTAATGAGACTCTCCCAATCCACCATAGCTTTCTAGCTTCTTGTGCTGCCACCCTGTGATCATGAGCCTGGTTATGGATGAACAGAGGATTAACAATATTATTACACCAATAAAAAAACTCATTCGACATCTCTGGTTAGAGAAGAATTACAATAGATTGTTTATTACCTTGTGGGTGAAGAAGAGGTTGAGTTTGATTTGTCCACGAAATTCTTGACCTTTGATGACATTGTATGAAGATCTAGGTTACCAGATGTATTTTTTTTATTTTGCTTCCGGCCTCCGTAACTCAGGATCACATATGGATCCATCTTATCTGCGTATTACTCCATCGTTAAACACATAATATAATAATAGCTAATAAGAGTGAAGAACTGCATATCGAATCTCTATGTAAATAAAAGTATAAATTTTATGCATAATCATGGGGTAATTATGATAGAGATCGATAATCACAACTTACTGATTATCACAAATTTTATAATGGTTAATATCACAAGTTTTATTTAATTATAATCCTATATCTAAAGATGATTTTTTAAAAGATAATTTTTAGTTTTTTAAACAAATTAAATCCACATAAATCAATATTCGTTGTTTTTACTTACGTGGCAAAATACTTAAATCTCATTCGTCACTTTTGTTTAGGTGGCATACGAATTTTTTAATTCCAAAATAAAATAGAAATCTAATTTTTAATTGGTCGAAAATATACCTTTGCTTATGTGGCGCGCCGATTGCTCTCCAAAAATGCCTATTTTATTTACATATATTAGATTGCGTTTGAAGCTATCTATCCAATAATTATTGTTTGTTTATTGCCTTAAAAGTTTATTTGTAGATAGGGGTGAAAATGATATGGATAAAAACCGAAAACCGAACCAAACCAAACTGAATTATCAATATAGATTGGATTTTTTTCTATTCGATTCGGTTTAGTTTGAAAAAATAAAAAAAATTTGGATTTCGGTTCGGTTTCGGTTTTGGGTTTGCAAAAACCGAAATCCCAAACTGAAGTATTGGCCCATTAGTAATAAGCCCATACCTTTTCATATGTAAGTATAAAAAAACCGTAATGTTCATTTTTTTCACTCTTTCTTCTTCGCGCCTCTTTCCTCCTTTCTCTCTCCTTCATCTCTCCTCATCTTTTCCTCTTAACTTTAATTTTTGAGTGAAAAATAATGGAATTACCATCATAATCATCATTGATTAATCTCTTCTCATATCATCAATCTATCCTCTCTCATAGTCTCATATTTCGATCTGATTTATATGAAGTTATTGTTGCTGCTGTTGTGAATGACTTTTCTAGGGTTCATTATTTCGGAATTCATTCATACCCAAATTTGAGAAAAGAAAGTTTTCAGAATTCATACCCAAATTTTCTGGGTTATCCTTGTATTTTTTTTTTCTTGATTATCTTTTATATACTTTGTAGTTGTAAATTTTAGTGTTGTAATCAATATAATTTATTAATTATTATTGCTGTGTTGGTGTATTACTTCTTTTTTATTATTTTTTTGTAGATCTATTCATTATAAATTTGGTTGTTTTTTTAAAAATTTATAATTTTTCAACAATCTGGAAAAAAAAATCCGTTGTAATTCGATTTTCAGTTTGGAACTGAATTAGGTTTTTAAATTTCGGTTTGGATTGGTTCGGTTTCAGATCTAGTTCGATTTGGATTCGGTTTGGAAATTCAAAAACAAATTATTTCGGTTTGGGTCAAAATCCAAACCGAATACCGAACTTTCACCCCTATTTGTAGATGATAGCTTTTTATCGAAAAAAGGTTACACAAGAAGACATCACTTATCCAATGCCCGACGTATCTTTTGCTATGCAACTTATTTATAATGTCGAATGTAATAAATTTATTATCTCAATCAAATATTTCAGCAAAAGGTAATAATTTTTTTTTGTATTTACTAAGATATTAATTTATTTAATTATGTAATAACAAAAAATTGATTGATATTTCACATTTTCCTAGAATTAGACATATTATATAGCTGTCAAACACAACATTTATTTTATACTCATATCTAATACTCCATTTGTCTAAGAAACAAAATATTAGAGGTATTTGAAAAAAAAAAAAATTAAAGTGATGTTTTAAAGTAATTTCTTTAATATCAATTATATGAATCAATTTTATTATTACTTTTTAGGCAAAATTCAATAATACTTCGTCTAAAAAATATCCAGGCGGTAATGATTGTATCTGGTATCTGAACCAGTGGCTCACTTTTTCTATAATTTGAAAAGAGTTGGAATAATATTTTATGTAATCCCCCATATTTTTCTTAGTAAATAATAATTATATATTTTTATGTATACGAATATTTTTAATAATTTTATAGATATTCTGGAAAGATTTGACAAAAAAAAAAAAAAAAACGATAACTTATATTCCAATAGCTTAATTACTCACCTTGGGCCCATGACTATCATTCTAATTCTACAAAAAAAAAAAAAAAAAGAGCCCATACCCTCATTTTTAATTAAGTAAAATTCTTTCAAAACCCTCCTATTGCCTTCTCCTTATTACTCCTCCTCTACTGCTTCCCCTTCATTCATGACTCATACACAAAAACAAAAAAAAAAAATCGTTGCTGCCCTACACCGCCACTGCTGCCGACCACCACCACCACCGGCGACCGTTCGCTACTGCCACGGCCGCCTGCCCTCAGCCGAAACCTGCAGCCACCGTCGCCCAGCCGGTTTCCTTCCCCTTCCCCTTCTCTTTCATCTTTCCCTCTTTCTTGTTTAATTTCTTTAAAGTTTCAATCTTTATATGAATTTTTCAATGTTTAATAATTATTATGGTTTGATTATGTTTATGAGTCATGAAAGATTGCAAATTTATGAATTATACTTTATTTGATTTATGAAATAAAATTTCAGATTTGGTTTATGAGGGAATTGGGGGTTTAAACGTTGATTTTTTCATGATTTTTGGGTTTAAAACGTGATGATTAAGTTACTCAATTGTAGTATGTGTAAATTATGTTTAAATTCAATTATCTTGATTATAAATGAAATTTCAGATTTGAATTATGTATATTTTAGGGTTTGAAATCGTGATTTTTCGTAAGTTTTGGGCTTAAGACATGAATAATTGATTTAACTACTTACTTTGTGTTTAAATATAATTCTATCTTTAATTTTTGATGGTTGTAAGTAATTTTCAGATTTCTAGAAAGCTGATTTTGGGTTTAAACTATTCATAGTATATTTTTTTTAGTTCTATTTACACTACTTGGCTATCATAAATAAATTATGTAATGGGTTGTTAAAATAGCATGTTTAAAGTATAGTGATGTCCTTAAATTTTATACATAACCTGAATTTTCATTTGTCTTAGTATCAAAAATAAAACTCCTGATGTTCCTAAGTGTTTGTAAGCCTACTATAACAATAATACAAGTATGGATTGTTGATTTCCAACTACTAATAAAATTAATTTTCAGATTTGAATTATATTTATTTTAAGGTTCAAGTTGTGGAATTTGAAGGTTCAATTGAGTTTTTATGAAACCAATTGAATTCTAATTATATATGTCAAGTTTAGATTGTTGTATTTCTACATTCTACTATTAAACTTAATTTTCAGATTTTAAACTTTGGCTTTAAAGGTTTTAAAGCACGGTTTTATGATGGATTTTTAAGTTCTTAACATACTAACCTACTATATAATGATTTTTTTAAGTAAAAATGTTTATGAGGTTGTTTTATATTCTTAAACTAAATTTCCAGATTATAATCCTTAATTTAAAGTTGTTGGAATTTTATGTTATAAGCTATATTTTCATGATTTTAACATATAGACTTATAGTTGGACTATTGAATTATTAACTTTGACTATTGTGAGTAATTTAAAAGCATTATTTCAATGGTTTAAGGGGTTTTAAAGTAAGTTAGTATTGCTGTAAATTATATTGCTTGGGTATTAATTGAGTTATTGTTGTTTTGTTTAGGAGAGGACTTCGTAGAAGGTGACTTCTAGCCTTAAAGTGGCCAATCAATTTGTGTACTCAAGGTACGTATAAGAATACGAAGAACCTTGATTTTAGGAGCATGCTTAGGGATTTGGAAAAAACCTAGAATCATGCTAGGGAACTTGTGGATTGGTTGAAATTGTTTGGTAATGAGTTGATTATTGATAAATGTGATGATTGGTATAATTTGTGCATGAGAAATTTGCATTGATTTTTCCTTATGAACATTATTTATGCAATAAATTGCAAAGTGAGCTTAGAGGCAAAGATGCAAGGATACTTGGAATGAATCATTTTAATTACTTATTCATTTGTATTGAAATAGAATGAGTAAAGGAAGAATTACAGTCTTATAAGACGAGGTTGAGGATTAAGGTGCCTTATGCACTTAAGGTGTTTATACACCGAGGTAGTTAAAGGATTCAATAATAATTGTTGTTTGTCACTAATAAATTAAGAGTTGAATTGGAAACTTGAATGGTTTGAATAATTGATGTATGATTGGTTGTGTTGTTTTACATTTGAGTCATCACCAAGTTTAAACTGGTAAATCACGTAAAGTGTAAGAAGGATGAGCAATAAAACTCTGGATTTGTGCACATCTAGAGTAATGACAAACAGGGGTTGGGGTTCACGGGGTATTAGCCGTGTACTTTTCAGAGGTCGTCTGACCTACGAGTCTCTTGTTTTCAAATACTTTTAAAATCATAATGAGTTAGATGAGATCTCATACTAGCTATGGCCACGGAGTTGCGCCCGTCTGCCATTGGATGTTTGTTAATGTCATCCGAAAGGAGGCATAGGGTTTTCTTTTATTAATGTTTCGAAATGGGGCATAGGGGGACAACCCGGTCAATTGCTTTATCCAATCAAATTAATGAAATGAACAATGCTATTTAGTGAAAACTTAGTAATGATCGACAATTGAGTCATGTGTCCGAGTCAATGATTATATTGTGTGTGTATAGAATGCTTGTTAGTATCATGCTAAGGCTCTTTACTATATTTCGTAGATTATATGTACACAGCGTTGCTGATTGCGTGCTTTTGTGTGTTTTCTCTCGGTCATGGTCTTCGCCCTTCAATGACCCTGTAATGATCCAATTCTTACACTTGTAATATTGGGGAGCAGACTAATCACAGGTTTTTGCATAAACTGAACTTGCATCAGGGTGATGGGATTTGAGTGGAGCGTTGGTTAATCACTTAGCTTATTTCATTTCATAAATTGATGTTATTTTGACTTTAACTCTACCAGCTTCCTATTTTACTGGGTTTTTAATAAGGGTCGTTATGGTTCCAACTTGTAAGTCTAAATTTGGTTTTGATTATTAGTTTTGAAACTTATATTTTCTTTTAAAACTAAATTAGTTTTTCGCTGTTGATATCTTAAACTAGCCTTAACGTTTGAACACGTGGCAATAGCACGCCAGTAATTCTCTCACAGGTTATTAAAAGTATTTACAGGTTACTACAAGTTATTACAGGTTAATACAGGTTTTAAAGAGAGAATTATTGGGGTGTTACATTTTAGGTAAATGTATGGAAAAATTAAGAACACGAAATAAAAAGAAATACATTTTATGTAAGGATAATGTATAAGATTTGGAACAATATTACAGTTGTATTATACAAATATTAAAATATTTTTTGCCAAAAGGGGAGGGGTTTTGGAGAGAAAAAACGCCACCAGGAAGTGTCATGTGTCATTGCTGGTGTCTGTTTTAGTATTATGTTATTGATTTTTATAATTTTTTACAAATGAGGATATAAACGATTAAAATTATGCATTGACAAACGTGAAAACAAGAAACGTTGCAAGCGACAGAGAAGGAGCGCGTTGTCAGTGGACGAATCATCACTGTCTTCATCATTTTTTTGTATTTGTATTCCTTCAAGGTGTAGTTGTCGAACACAGTTTCTACTGAAGAATCCTCTTGATGATGCTCATGTTGCACTCCTTCTGGTGGCGCATACTGTTGATGGATGAATCCCGTTGATAATCCTAACGTAATTCCCCAGGCGCAATTTCAACTGATAAATGAACCTGATGTAATTCCCCAGCAGAAGTTTCAACTGATAAATGATCTGAAGTAATCTTCCAGGCACAAGTTTAATTAATAAATTATCCTGAAGTAAACCCTCGGGTGCAATTTCAATTGACAAATGTCTTGGTGGTGGTGGTGGTGTACGATTTTTGCAATAGAAATTAAACTCTCTAAATAAATAATAATGTTGCATCCATGAATTTAGCATAGGTATGTTCTTACAACATTTATGCTTTATTTATAAGGTGATTTATTACAACATATTTTTACAAAGTGTCACAAAACCTGATTTTTATAAGGGGTTTCCCACAAATGTTCATCCAAGAATCACTATACAATTGTTCATAGAATTAAGGTTTCCCTAGCTCTTTGAGAATAGATCATTTAATAGGCGATTAGGCGTTACTCTGTTTAGTGTCGTGCTATTTTCTAGTCTCGATAAGTTTCAAGGCATTTTAGAGGACAACATTCGAAGTATATTTCTGCAGAGAATTTTGAGCAGATTAATATGCAGTCACGAAAATGCCAAAACAAAAGTTTTTGTTTAGTTTTTTCTTTCTTTTTTTCAAATGACAAAGTCCAAAATGCTCCAAACCAACTACATGCGTAGTTTTATACCATTTGAAATTTCCCCAACTATTTTTGACAAGTTATGAGACACACACGTAATATAGGATGTACAATATTTTTTTTCTTTTTAATAGATGTAGAGTTTTTTTTTTCTTTTGTAAAGAATAAACGTGGATATGATGATTTCTTTCAAAAAAAAAAAAAACGTGGATATGGTGATCATATGGGTATTAATATTTTTTTTTAAATAAAAAAATGTACGGTAATCTTTCAACAAAGTTAAACATGGTTCCTTTCAATAAAAAAATAAAAAAGTAAACGTGGGTAGTTTATGGGTAGTTTTTTTTTTTTTTTTTAAAAAAAGTAGATAATTATGGTTTGTGGATAGTTTTTTTTTTTTTTTTTTTTTTTTTTTTTATAATCTACTGAAGATCACAAATTTATCCTTTTCAAGAGTTATAAGATTTATATGGTAAATGTGGGTGGATGTGAGCTTTTTTTTTTTTTTTTTTTTTTTTCAAAAAAGTATTTATGTTTTATCATTGAATACGGAGTACATAGCAATGAAATACTGCCTCCGTTTTTTTTTTTTTTTTTTTTAAAGCTAGAGATGGGATTGCGCGGAGTTTTAGGAGGTTCAATAAAATAAGATGTTAGTAGGGTAAATAAGGTTATTATTTTATTGAAAAGTAAAGTGGTGTGAGAGAAAGGTGACCATTGGAGGAGTGAGAAATGATAAAGTAAAAAAGAGTGGGGAGATTAGTGGGTAAAGATATATTATTAAATTGTAAAAGATTTCCAAAAATTGAACTTTAGCTTTAAAAAAAAAAAAAAAAAAAAAAAAAAAAAAAAACCAGATAAAAATAGTAACTCTAGCTTATAAAAAGAATGGAGGGAGTAGTTTTTTTTTTAAATTTTTTTTATGTATAAACAGGTATTGACTTACACTGTAGACCTTTTTTTTTTTTTTTTTTTTTGGTTTGAGGATAACGGATGGCATGCCTTACATTATTAGATTATCCATCAATACATACAGGGAAACCTCACTAGGAGAATGGTTTTCCCAAACCTGTTCACAACAAAACGGCACTATACGGGCTAAATGATAAGCTACACTATTGCCCTCCCGCCTTACATGACACCAAGTGATAGAATTAAAATAACTACTAGATCTAAGTACATCGTCCAGCAAGCTATCCACATCAGTGAGGAAAATGGATCCTTTGCAAAGTCTACTTATCAAAGTTTGATTGTCCGACTCCACAATAATGTTGCTGCAGCCATATCGTCGCGCGAGCTTCATAGCCATATCAATAGCTTTGCACTTAGCTATGATAGGGGTCCAATATGCCTTGGTGCGTCTGGTAGCAGCAAATAAGTCCTCACCCTTCCAGTTTTTCACCATTACTCCGTACCAACCCATCCCTCATTGCACAAGGACGCATCACAATTCAGCTTGATGATCCCTTCCGGAGGAGCAACCCAAGTTTAGGGCTTCGACAACCCTTCGATCTCACAGACCCATAAATTTTCTTCGAAACAAAGATGCATTCGCTCGCAAGACATTGAATAGTATGATCGACATTTTTTATTTTTTTTTAAAAAAAAATCTACTGTAAACCATAAAAGAAATTTTTCATTTGTGAGCAGTTATGAACCTTTTTTTATTTTCCAAAAAATAGTAAATAAGTAATTTTGCAAATTGGAAAAAGACAAATTTATCAACCAAAAGTCCTTTCTCTTTATATAGTACTATAAACTAATACAAGCGCTAATTCAAAATAAATAATTTACATCAAGTATAGGAAAAGAAAAATGGGCTATATATATCCATATATCAAGAAAATACAAAATTTTCAAGTTTTCTTTTATCACAATCTAATATCATATCACTAATAAATAAAGCCGATCTCGTAGCCAAGCCATAAGACAGACACTTGGCGAAAACTAGGTACTATTGTGACACATGATTCTAAGTAAGCGAATTTTGGGTAGATTTTTTAAGATAAAATTGTTGTATAGAATTTTATTGTCGATATACTTCTAATATTTCATATATACAAACTAATCATAACATTTAATAAAAATCTAATAACTCAGTTCTACTTCCATCATAAAATTCGTTTTAAAAAGTTATTTAAAATAAGATCCATTTATAATATATTTAAAATAATAGAGAATTAGTAAAAATAAGTTTTAATCGGTAAAAATACTTTCAGTTTAATAAAAATAATTTAAGTATGATATTGCATATCTAAATATCCTACATTATCAAAAGTGATTATATAACCGTATTTAACATTCAAGCCAAAACATCCGTATATAACCGTGATTATATATATATATATTGTTTCGGGGTTTTCTGATGTCCTGCGGGAGAGTTACAATTTCGGGACTGGATCCGTGCGCCTGTACCTACAAAACAACGGAGACTCCGGGTGGTGGGAGCTCCGCCTCCGACGGTCAAGTTAGTACTTGTTTGAGGAGTAATAAATGCGGAAAAGGTAAAGGTTGGAAGATCTGGTTTCTCTAGGGGAGGAGTGATCAGTGAGTTTAGGTTCTCTAGGTGAGAGTAATTAATTGTCTCATCCTCCTTTAATGAGGATTAATTAGAGTATTTATAACCTTGGGGAAAGTGTCAAATCCTAGGTTTTGGTTAACCTAAGGCTGACTGGGCTTCCCTCGGAATTTGGGCCTAGGTGGCCTGCTTGGCATATGGAGGTCACGTGGCGTGACACAACTGGTCCATGGTGGACAGATCAACGCCTGACACGTGGCAGACTGCTATTAGCCCATGTGGCGGACACATGGCAGGCCCTGATTGGTCCACTTGTCAGATAATGATTGGTAGGGAAAAATCCCCTAATCATTTGCCCCTCACAGGTGGCACGTGACTATTCACATGTCACCTGTGACAGGTGTCGGCCTGTAACAGGCGACGGCCTGCTACAGGTGTCGCCCTATGACGAGCCGAGCATTTTTCCCGCTTATTTTTTTAATTTGGAGGCGACTCTTTGCATTCTCTTTTGCCCTATATAAAGGCATGTTGACCAAGTCTTTTGTTCACATTTGCGAACTTTTTCAAGAGAACTCTCGGACCCCTGAACTTGAGCTCTGACACTTTGCAACTTTTGACCTGCCAGGACGACTGTTTTACTAGGCGCCTACTCGATCAAGATCTTCAGAACTTAAGTTACAGGTAACCGTCTGTTCTTTTATTCTTTTTGCTTTTGCACTTTTTCTTTCTTTTTTGAAAACGAGACCTCAAAAGCATCCGGCACGGCCTAGGTTAGCAATCATCCGGTCACCGGGGACGGCTGAGTCTAGGACTAAGGGTGCCGACTGCCCTGCGGTACTTCAAACTTTGCGCAAGTCCCGGAATCCAACTGTCTTTGTATCTATGCAGGACAGTATGGCAAGAACAAAAAAGACCAAGAGAATAGAAAACTCTGATGGTTCCTCTTTCCGGGTTTCGATTAGTGAAACGTCAGACCAGCCACCTGATACCGCAGGGACCCAAGGCGGCCCTTCTGCCGAGAGCTCTAAGGAGGGAGCTAAGGTAGCCCCTTCCCACTTCACTGTTTACCTGGCCAGTCAGCAGACGGCCCCTGAAGAAGAAGAGGGGTCGGCCCCCTCAGGGAGAGGGGAGGAGTCGGACTCTTCTGATAGTGAGTCTGACTCTAGCTCTTCAAGCCGCCTCTCTATAAGCTCAGAGGAAAGGCATGCTCGCTTGCATGAGGCGAGAACTTCTCATGTTGCTGAAAAGAAGGACGGTTGGTCGGAACCATCCGCCTCTCATAGGGAGTTGAATACTCCTTATTACTGTCATGTACCAAAGGGCCGGATCAAGGCCATGAAAGAACGAATATACACTTTTCTTTCGGACCATACGATGGGTCCGAATTATCAAGTATTTGTGCTGGATGGCGAGGACACCGTCGTCTGGCCCGCAGGATCCAGCTACGGGGACGCCTGTTTTGGCTGCTACGAGGCGGCCATTAAGGCGGGGCTACGATTTCCCCTTCAACCAGTCGTTCAGCAAATCCTCGATGGATACGAGGTGGGGCTTTGGCAGTTAGCCCCTAATTCTTGGTTCAACATCCTTAGCTACGTAGCCGGATGTGAAATGCACGGGGTGGAGCCGAATTTTGAGGCGTTCACCCATATGAATTATCTCAGCCGGACCCCCAAGGCAAGTGGTACCGACTGGTTCCAAATAACGAGCCACAAGGGCTACCTAATGACCAGGGGCAAAGAAAATAAATGGAAGGATTGGAGAAACACCTTCCTCATCATTGCCAGCCCTGATCGTTTGCTGAACAAACGCTATAATAGGTGGAACAAGGATCCGCCTCTTCTAGCAGGCGGTCGCAGCATGCCGCTTGTTCCCCTCAAGGCCAGGGAAGAGATCCTAGACCGAGGGCTTTTTAAAGGAGAGATTAGGGCAAACTCTACTACTGGGGTACGAGAGCAAGTGCCCCTAAACTGCGTCCCAGAGTTTCAATGGCTCTATGACGAGTTTTTCCTGGCCGCTTGCGGCCTTAGCAGTCGGTCCTCCAGAGGTAGCCGGCCTCTTGAATATATGTACCCTTCTTTTTATTTATTTTCGAATTTTTTCAAACTCTTGTGGTTCATACTTGCAGTTGAAGCTATGTACCAAATCTCCGTATCTAAGAAGGCGGTTGCTTTGCTGCGAGCCTCCATCATGCAACAGAAGCGGACCTCTTCTGATTCTCCTGCCAAGGAGACGCCCATAGTGAGTTTCGAGCCTTAGAAC